GTGCCTGTTACAAGATGGGCACTGCAAATGCTGTGACAGTGGCTCACCCTGGGCTCCACCCCAGAAAGCAAATCTAGCAAGGAGCATGTGCTTTAAGGACTTCCTACTGATATAATCGTATGGTCCCTACCACTAGGAGGGTTTAAACAGAGACTGGATACGCAGCTATAAGGGACTCATAAAGGGCATTCAAATACTAAGTGAGACGGAGGAATCAAATGACCGTTCTTGTAGTTATGACAACCTACAATGTTTCTGTGAATACTGTCAAGACTGTACATACACGTGTGCGTTATAATCCACATTTTGTCCAACCTGAGAACTAAAAATAGAGAAGCAAAAAAAGAAAACTTCTTCTTTTTGATATAGGCTTTAGGCAGCAACAAAAAAAAAAAGGAAAAAAAAGGTACCTGCTTAGAGATGCCAAATGTTACTTATCTGTTCAACAAGTGGCTTCTATCATATGCTTATAGGGCAGAGAATCTCCCAATAAGACCTTTCTGATTTTATTTTTACTTTGTTTTTTTGAGACAGGGTCTTGCTATGTAGTTCAGGCTGACCTTGAATTCACTTTATAGCCCAGGTTGGCCTTGAACTCAGGTCAATCCTCCTGCCTCAGCCTCCCCAGTGTTGGGATTACAGGTGTGCACGACCATGTCTGGCCCTAGGACCTTTTTGAATCTTAAAAAAATTTTTGAATACTTCCCCCTATACCCTGAGAGAGCTTTACTTATATTATTCCTTGAGTTACAGAATCCACACCATTAGTTCTCATTTATGAGTCTAGGATTCCTTACTGAGGCACTGTGCTGCCAAAACCAACATGGGTGTGGGGATTCGTGAGTCAGAGAGGGGGCTCTTGGGCCCCGTTAGTATTTAATATATAGCCATTTGATGTAATATGATTCAGAACAAAAGAAACTTAAATTTGTACTTATTTCTGAATCAGCATCATATTTTCCCACACTGTGCTACTGGGCAAAGCATCAATGGTGTGGTGAATAATCCCCCCCACTTTTTTTGATACCAGGAATCGAACTCAGAACCTTGTGCTTGCCAGGCAGGTGGTTGTGCCACTGAGCTATATCCCCAGCCCCAGTCTCCCCTTTAAAGTGGCCTTATCAGGTGACACCGACAATGCAGGTGGATCGGTGAAGAGGCAAACAGGCAACTGAGGGATCCTCCCTGATCGCTTACCACAGTATCCTCACCCAACAGAAAATCTCTACCTACTGTTATCATAATCTTACTGCTACTGTTATTTTCCAGTTCACCTTAAGGTCTTTAAGAAAACATTTCCTGGTTTAAACACCAAGTATGAATTGTAATTTTGGTTAACATTTACTAAAAAATTGAAAATCAAGAGAAAAATCTCATAACATGAATTGTATAAATATCGAAGAAATTTCTTTGCAAAATACCATACTTTACTACGTGTGCGTGTGTATTCTCGCTCTTGCCCTCACACAGCTCATTTGCTTGGTGCAGCAGTATTTAATGGGTCTACAAAGGGAAGAAAGTCATTTTTGAAATAGTCCATATGAAGTTTATACGGACAAAGAAACAGTTATCAATTAAAAAAGAAAAAGTTCACTACAAACAAAACCAGAAAGAATAATGATGCCATAAGGAAGTTTTTTTTTTTTTGAGACAGGGTCTTGCTATGTGACTCAGGCTGGCCTTGCAGTCACTATGTAGGCAGCCTAGGCTGACCTTGAACTCGTAAAAGATCCTCCTGCCTCAGCCTTCTGAATGCGGGATTATAAGCACATGGCACCACCACACCCTGCATAAAGCAGTTTAAAAACTCCCAATCTTTCCCATTTTCTTTCTTCATAAAGGTACAAAAATGAATCAAGACTTATTACTTCCCAGGATACAGTACTGGTCCAGAGCCCTAAACATCTGCTTCAGGGTTTCAGTTCACTTTTTCAGTCCAGAATTTTGATTTTAAATGAGCATCATGGAGAACTGTAAAGCTACCAAAACATTTCACAGCAAATGTCAGGCAGCTTGACTCTATATGGGAACTCTGCAGCTTGATTTTTATATGGGGAACTCTGTTTCAAATCTGAACATCTCGGGGCTGGGGATTTAGCTCAGCGGCACAGTGCCTGCCTGGCAAGTGCAAGGTCCTGAGTTTGATTCCTGGTACCGGAAAAAAAACAAAAACAAAAACAAAAACAAAAACCCAACAAATCTGAACATCTCATCCTGTGCTGTAAGTTGGAGCGGAAGCATCAATAAAGTGAAATTAGTCATAAAAAGTATTATTTGTTGTGGTGATTGATGTATGTAAGTCCTAAGTGAGTTTATTTTGAACCCTCAGAGATTTTTAAGGATTGCTGCAAAGATTACAGTAATATATGCAAAACACTCATTATAAGACCTGACTTTCAATAAGTGTTATTTTTTACTATTATTTTCATAATTAGGGGAGAGAACCTCTCAACCTTTTCAAGAGAACCTCTTCAGTTCTGAAGCCATACAGAAAAGCAGCAAAGGGATGGTGTTATTGCTTGTGTGAAGATGTCTCCCCAAAGCCTCATGCAGTCATACATGGGGCTTTTTCAGAGAGGGTGCTAAGATTAAAGGTGAGTGATTACTAAATCAGTCCACAGATTGGTCTGGCACCACCCTAATCTCGGCAGCCTACACACAATATAAAAGGGGCAGAAAGATGATTTACTGTCTCTTGTTTGTCCTGCTACCTTCTGGCCACCATGAACTGCTGTCCTCTTCCAAGCCACCCTGCCTTGGAGCCAGCCAATTAGGGAATCAAACCTCTATAAACTGTGACCTAAATAAACCTCTCCTCCCTTAACTTTGGGCATCAGGTATTTTGCCTCGTTCAAGGCCAGCCTGGGCTACAAAGTGAGCTCAAGGTCAGCCTAAACTGCATAGCAAGACCCTGTCTCAAAAAAAAAAAGGTATTTTATCTCAGCAAGGATAAAGTAACTAAAACAGACAGTCACATGCAACCACACTTTTACCACCTTTAACTTTATAGTGCTCCATTATACCATTTGGATTTGTACTGTGGTAACAGTAGCCAGTAGCTACAGATGACTAGTAAGCATCTGAATTGTGTGTAGTTAGAACTGAGATGTGTAGTTAGAATTGAGCTGTTGTAAGTGTAAAATGCACACCAGAGTTGGAAAACAAAAACAAAACATTATTGACAGTTAAGTTACGTAGAAATATTATAGGCAGGCAGACAGGGCTAGGCCCTCAAAGGAGTCAGTGCAGAAGACGAGAACACATCAAAACTGTGGCTGGAGGTACATGTGAATATTTAAAAGTTACAATGGCCAGGTTTACATACTTCCCTGAGGGATAAGATTGAGATTACAGGTACTATCCTTTTGCGATTTCCCATAAAAATAAACCATTACCTTATTATCTCTTTAGAGGTGGGGTGGGTCATCCTCTCCCAGCCACTAAGGCTAATAAGACTAAGACCAAAGACAAGACTAAGACTATAGATTATCGACCATGGTTAATGATTTCACCTACGTACGCTTGCTAAGTGACCTGCTTCCCCATTGGATCAATATTACCTAAGTGACTATTCTTGTAATCTTTTTTCTTTTCTTTTGGGACAGGGACTTGCTATGTAGTACAGGCTGGCCTTGAACTCACAGGGATCCTCCTGCCTTAGCCTCTCAAGAGCTGGGATTATAGGTGTGCACTACCATGCCCGCCCTATACTTGTAATCTTGGTTGATCATAATTTTTTTCTTTTTGGTTTTTTGAGACAAGGTCTTGCTATGTAGCTCAGGCTGGCTTTGGACTTGCCGAGATCCTCCTGCCTCAGCCTCCCAATTGCTGGAATTACAGGCCTGTGCCACCACACTACACTGGTTGATCATAATTTTGTCCCACATTGTACCCACCTCCTGATTTTGCTCTATAAAACTTCCTTTGAGAAGTGGGCTCATAGGCAACCCTTTCGGGACCCCTCTGTTTTCTCAGGAAATATTTCCATTCCCCATTCCCTTTCCCCAATAAACTGTGCTACTCTTAATCTCTGCTGTTCCTTAGAATTCATTCTTTGACTTTGGGGCACATGAACCCAGAATATGGGATATCTGGCAGGTTGGGAGTTACCTTTATGTCCTCTACATCATTTTGAGGTCCTATATCAAAACCACGCAAAGACAGCAAAGTAGTAAAGTAAAAAAAGAAAATTTAAAAAAGAAAATAAAAAAGATTTGCAACAATTCACGGGAAAAATGTATACAATATTTCATTTAAAAATATTTGGCTCTGAGTTGAAATAGTATTTTGGAAACATTGGGTTAAATGAAACATATAAAATTTCAAGTTTCTTTTCACCTTTTAAATGTGAAGGGTATTTAAAAGTACTTAAGTGACTCAAATTGTTGGACAGAGGCGATGTAGAACCCTGCTAGTCATAACCCGGCCCGGCAGCACCTGGAGGCTTGTTAACAATGCAGATTCTCAGGCCCAGACCTACAGAATCAGGATGCGCCCTTCAGCAGCAGGTCCTGCGGCGACCCTTACCAACTGTTCCAGAACTCTCCAGGGTACATGGTTTACGGATGAGGCCAAATCTGGCGCTGCGGCCACATAAAGGCAAATAGCCTTGCTTTAGGTAACCGCGTAAAAGCAGGAAGGTGATGGGGGAGAAAACCATTGCGGCGAAGTAATGCAGAAGATAAGGAAACTCACACAGGCACAAACAGAAGCTGAGAGGGGAAAAGTCAAACAAGCGGACAGACCTTTGCCTCCATAAATGTGAAAGGAGACGGAAACGGAGGTAAAACTTGCAATCAACAGCTATAAAAGACCAGGAAACCGCCCGTCAAAATCTAGCCTCACCCGCCTCTCGGTGTCCTCAGCTAAGCTAGGCCTGAGCCAGCGGTCTCAGGTTGTCGTGCGACGCGAACCACTTTCTCCCCAGGACTACACAGTTCCTCGGGGAGTCTCTCCATTTTCCCCGCAAGCCCCGTTTCCGACAGAGACAACGCGCTTACCAAGGATCACCTGCCTGCGAGCAAACCCCAAATCCAGCGCCTTCGCGACCGCCACCTTCCAGTTCTTCTGCAGAGAACCCGCCCCCTTGGGCCCAGCCGGTGCTCCCATTGGTCAGACTGCTCGTCATTCCTGTCGGGCGGGGCCGGACTCGTGAAGGATGTAGTGGACGCCATAGCAACCGAACTCAGAACTACATCTCCCGGCATGCTCCGCTCGGGGTGGGGAGAAGGAGGTACTACCTAGAGGCTACCAATAAAGGGACCTAATTAGAGACGCCCAGATGGATTCCATTTTATGCAAATTAGAGTTAAAGGCCACACCCTTCCTTATTCCAAACGGATCCTGAACACGTTCCTCGGGCTGTGCCTCACCTCCCTTTTCATCTCCACGATATTCTCTCCTTTTAAACCTTCCGCCACCTAGTTGAATACATCCTAGGTACTCTCTCGCACGGAGACGAGCAAATGCACCAAATCAAGGAACTAAAATCTCGCAAAACCTCAGACTAGAAATGAGTGATTAAGCTTTCTTGGGAAAGGGAATGGAAGGGGCGGGAAAGAGCATCCTCTCTGAGAGTGCTGATTGGTTTTTCCGGCTGTCGCTCCGAAGTACCCCATTTTTTTTTTCGGCTCTCCGCCTTGCATTTCTCTTGGGGGCGGGGCTAGCGGTAAGGGGCGGTGAGGAGGTGTGGTCCCTTTCTTACGATTGGTAGACGTTTGTCCCCACCCATCTGTGGGCGGAGACGGAGGGGCTGTTGGGGGCGGGGGAGGCCGCAGAGAGAGATGAGGAGATAGGCGGGAGAGAGGGAGCGAGGGAGGGAGCGACGGAGGTAGAGAGGAGTGGAGGATCGCGGGGTGGGAGTGCAGCTTGGTTGCTCCGTAGTACGGCGGCTCGCGAGGGAGAATCCCTCGCGGGCTCGGGAACGGGCGGAGAGGCGGGCGGGCGGGGATGGTGTGCGGGGCTGCGGCTCCTGCGTCCCTCCCCGCGGCGTGTGAGCGGCACTGATTTATGCTCGGGGCGGCAGCGCGGTCCCGCGCGGAGATGAGGTGAGGAGCGGGTCGACTGCGGCGGCGGCGGCCTGGACGGCGGGAGGCGCGCGGGGG